GTACCTTACCTAAATAAAATTGTATTGTATTGTATTGTAATGTTGTATACACATGTACACACTCATACATACATGTACACACACACGTACACACACATACACGTACCGGTCGTGGTCTAATAAAATAATTAGACCAGTTAATACTTTCACTATATATATATATATATATATATATATATATATATATATATATATATATATATATATATATATATATATATATATATATATATATATATATATATATATATATATATATATAAATATGACCGAAAAAGTAAGATTAATAATTCTAACACGAATTTTCTCAATCTTTCGTACATTTCTTTTCACTGTTGGAGGTAATTCAAAAATCAATTCTCCAAAATTCATTTTTATTTCTAGTCTGACGCGACACTTGAGCGCGTTTCGTAAAACTTATTACATTTTCAAAGACTTTACACATACACAACTGAATAGAACTTACATATCTCCAATTTGTTTATATCTACATTTGAGTGAGGTGGATGGGGTGAGGTGGTATTTAATAGGGTATTAATTTCATCAACACAAGACAGAACACGAAACAATGGGTATTGAAATGGAAGTGATTGTAGAAAGCCTATTGGTCCATATTTCTAGATGCTTCTATATTGGAGCGGAGTCTTGAGGTGGGTAGAATATAGTTGTGCATTAATTGGCTGTTGATTGCTGGTGTTGACTTCTTGATGTGTAGTGCCTCGCAAACGTCAAGCCGCCTGCTATCGCTGTATCTATCGATGATTTCTGTGTTGTTTACTAGGATTTCTCTGGCGATGGTTTGGTTGTGGGAAGAGATTATATGTTCCTTAATGGAGCCCTGTTGCTTATGCATCGTTAAACGCCTAGAAAGAGATGTTGTTGTCTTGCCTATATACTGGGTTTTTTGGAGCTTACAGTCCCCAAGTGGGCATTTGAAGGCATAGACGACGTTGGTCTCTTTTAAAGCGTTCTGCTTTGTGTCTGGAGAGTTTCTCATGAGTAGGCTGGCCGTTTTTCTGGTTTTATAGTAAATCGTCAGTTGTATCCTCTGATTTTTGTCTGTAGGGATAACGTTTCTATTAACAATATCTTTCAGGACCCTTTCCTCCGTTTTATGAGCTGTGGAAAAGAAGTTCCTGTAAAATAGTCTAATAGAGGGTATAGGTGTTGCGTTAGTTGTCTCTTCAGAGGTTGCATGGCGTTTCACTTTCCTTCTTATGATGTCTTCGACAAAACCATTGGAGAAGCCGTTGTTGACTAGGACCTGCCTTACCCTACAGAGTTCTTCGTCGACTTGCTTCCATTCTGAGCTGTGGCTGAGAGCACGGTCGACATATGCGTTAACAACACTCCTCTTGTACCTGTCTGGGCAGTCACTGTTGGCATTTAAGCACATTCCTATGTTCGTTTCCTTAGTGTAGACTGCAGTGTGGAAACCTCCGCTCTTTTCCATGACTGTTACATCTAGAAAGGGCAGCTTCCCATCCTTTTCCATCTCGTAAGTGAAACGCAGCACGGAACTCTGCTCAAATGCCTCCTTCAGCTCCTGCAGATGTCTGACATCAGGTACCTGTGTAAAAATGTCAACATACCTGCAGTATATGGCCGGTTTCAAGTTCATGTCGACTAAGACTTTTTGCTCGATGGTACCCATGTAGAAGTTTGCAAACAGGACACCTAGGGGAGAACCCATGGCGACCCCATCTACTTGCTTATACATGTGCCCATCCGGGCTCAAGAATGGTGCCTCTTTAGTACAAGCTTGGAGTAGTGTCCTCAGAATATTTTCTGGTATGTCAAGAGGAGTACAGGCTGGATCACGATACACTCTGTCGGCTATCATCCCAATTGTCTCGTCCACAGGTACGTTGGTAAACAGCGATTCTACGTCCAACGAGGCTCTTATCCCTGTGGCCCGTGTGCCCCGCAGTAAGTCAACAAATTCCTTTGGAGACTTCAGGCTGAAGGCGCAAGGAACATAAGGAGTCAGCAGGCCGTTGAGTCGCTTCGCCAGTCTGTACGTGGGTGTGGGTATCTGGCTAATGATTGGCCGAAGTGGGTTTCCAGGCTTGTGTGTCTTGACATGTCCATACGCATATCCAGGTTTTATATTCCCCAATGATCTTTGGCAGGTGGAGTCCGGATTTCTTGGAGTTCACAGTTTCGATCAGTTTGTTGACCTTTGCTTTCAATTCGGCTGTAAACTTACTGACCCCGCCCAGGATGCAACCCCACAACAAGCTAACTCCTGAGTACCTACTCACTGCTGGGTAAACAGAGGAACGAGGTGAAAGGAAATGAGCCCAACCATTTCTGTCCCGACGGGAATTCGAACCCAGAATTCTCGATTGTGCGTCGAGAACAAACCCATTGGTACTACCGGTATCCTGGCACAGCACAGGGTGCATGTGCTGGTAGTATTGGACCCAATACCTATTCTGTGGGTGTTATGGTCCCTATTTTCCATCCTGGGGGGGGGGGCTGTTGTAGATCCCATACCCATCCTGTGAAGGGTATTGGTCCCCCATATCCATCCTGTGAAGGGTATTGGTCCCCCATATCCATCCTGTGAAAAGTATTGGTCCCCATACCCGTCCTGTGAAGGGTATTGGTCCCCATACCCGTCCTGTGAAGGGTATTGGTCCCCCATACCCATCCTGTGAAGGGTATTGGTCCCCCATACCCATCCTGTGAAGGGTATTGGTCCCCCCATACCCATCCTGTGAAGGGTATTGGTCCCCCCATACCCATCCTGTGAAGGGTATTGGTCCCCCATATCCATCCTGTGAAAGGTATTGGTCCCCCATACCCGTCCTGTGAAGGGTATTGGTCCCCATACCCGTCCTGTGAAGGGTATTGGTCCCCCATACCCATCCTGTGAAGGGTATTGGTCCCCCATACCCATCCTGTGAAGGGTATTGGTCCCCCATACCCATCCTGTGAAGGGTATTGGTCCCCATACCCGTCCTGTGAAGGGTATTGGTCCCTCAGACCCATCCTGTGAAGGGTATTGGTCCCCCCATACCCATCCTGTGAAGGGTATTGGTCCCCCCATACCCATCCTGTGAAGGGTATTGGTCCCCCATATCCATCCTGTGAAAGGTATTGGTCCCCCATACCCGTCCTGTGAAGGGTATTGGTCCCCATACCCGTCCTGTGAAGGGTATTGGTCCCCCATACCCATCCTGTGAAGGGTATTGGTCCCCCATACCCATCCTGTGAAGGGTATTGGTCCCCCATACCCATCCTGTGAAGGGTATTGGTCCCCATACCCGTCCTGTGAAGGGTATTGGTCCCTCATACCCATCCTGTGAAGGGTATTGGTCCCCATACCCGTCCTGTGAAGGGTATTGGTACCCATACCCGTCCTGTGAAGGGTATTGGTCCCCCATATCCATCCTGTGAAAGGTATTGGTCCCCCATACCCATCCTGTGAAGGGTATTGGTCCCCATACCCGTCATGTGAAGGGTATTGGTCCCCCATACCCATCCTGTGAAGGGTATTGGTACCCATACCCATCCTGTGAAGGGTATTGGTCCCCCATAACCATCCTGTGAAGGGTATTGGTACCCATACCCATCCTGTGAAGGGTATTGGTCCCCATACCCGTCCTGTGAAGGGTATTGGTCCCCCATACCCATCCTGTGAAGGGTATTGGTCCCCCATACCCATCCTGTTAAGGGTATTGGTACCCATACCCATCCTGTGAAAGGTATTGGTCCCCATACCCGTCCTGTGAAGGGTATTGGTCCCCATACCCGTCCTGTGAAGGGTATTGGTCCCCCATACCCATCCTGTGAAGGGTATTGGTACCCATACCCATCCTGTGAAGGGTATTGGTCCCCCATACCCATCCTGTGAAAGGTATTGGTCAAAATTTATTCGGATAAATTTTCTTGCAGGTTTCTGGCAAGTCTTTTTTAATGAAATACTTACACATTCCATAAATAGGTGGCCATTTTCACTTTGCTCTTTGCTGTAATGTATATATTGTACTTTGCATTTATAATACAGCTTTTATATTATCAATATCCTTTATCCGTCCATCCAAGACACACAGCATGTTACGATTGCTTGTTCCTATATTACATCTTATTAAACAATTTCTAATAACCATACATTTTGTTATATAATTTAAAAAAAATTGCCCACATTTCACAAAATGATTGGTCAGTGGTCCAACACTGAAAACCTTGAATATTTAATTTGGAGTGTAGAGATGATTGGGCAGTCACAATAAGGACAAATTTAAATACTTGCATTAGTAGAGGTGAACATGAATATTGCATTTGGGCATCAGTAGTAGACAAGACAATGCAATACAGTAGTTATGCAATGGCAAAATGAGCAATTCAATCTATGCGAAATTTCACGGTCTGTTCCATTCTACATGGCCATGTTGTGAAGGTGTGCAATGCTCGTCAAGTTCTGCGAACCAGAGTATATTAGTCATCAACTACACGAATCAGGATCTCTAGTATGGTTATATTTAAATGTGTACAGACGAGTGTCTCATACTGGCAGGTGGTATGAAGCCTTTTGCAAGTGTGGCAGCAGTGGGGAGGGGGGGGGGGAACTATGGCTGGACGTTTTTTTTAAGCAAGTAATTATCAAAAGAAGGCACCAAACCGGGAAGGCTATGTAGCACCATCAAATGTGCGGAATAATCAGAGGGCGCTAAATATCACCAAGGATGCCAATACGAGAACAAAAACGCATAAGGCGAATGATATCAAAAGTATCCGAGTCACCAAGAATTCTATCGAGGGACAGGTGACCGTGAGGGGCAGTTGAAAAGCAAGACACGCTCGTGGACGTTTTTTAAAGATGTGGTGCAAATGACAACACGTTTCTTCCAGAAATGTGTAGGAATAATCAACCGTTAACAGCTGCCAGGCTCTAAAGGCCGACCGAATTACAGAATAATTTAATAGAAATTTGAACAATTTCCTATAAATTTTCATTTTACCAGTACATGAAGGAAAATAAAAATCAGTCGCCATTGTCATATATAGGTACTGTTTCAGTTAAATGTACAATGTGGTTGACAATCAGTAGAATAAGGGCAAACCACCAGACCTGACAAAGAACCGTGGTTTTTATATAGTACAAAATATATTGTTTTGGGTGACCAGCAAATCCCAAATTTTAAATATTGGCATCATGCTTTGGTGCAACAACCAACATTTATTTGCCCGACTACAACACAGGCGTATTACTAAACATTTGTTCATATTATACAAATTAGAGAAAAAAAAATTCCACAGTTACATCCTGTGGTACATTTGAGAAAATAAATTTATACAAATTCATTATTCTGGTTTGGAACAACTATCCAGCACAATCACAATGAGAAATTGTTTATAAATAACTTTATAAATAATTGCAGCATCACTTAAAATTGTGTTTAGAAAATCTTTAAATCCATTTTATCACAGCAATTGCTAATCTCACATGCATCATCTTACAAGACTGGAGATGACATGACAAATCTAACGTCTAAGTTCCAACATTTTCTTTGCCATGAGATGTTAACATATAAAAAGTGAGGTATATTTAAATCCTAGTCATGAAGACAAGATCTTTATTTAAATACGAAAGTATTCATATTCATGTATGTCAGGATGACTTGCGCTGCTGCTCTGTACTCTACAAAAATTGATAGCATTACAACTGCAGTGCATGTGCTTTTAAAATTGAGAAACTATCAAAATATTGCAAGGTATCTGGTGATCTAAAGACGAAACGTGATTTTCATAGATTCGAGCACAAGATCACGAAAGAGAACAGTGTTCCTAATAAATATATGATCAAAACTTTTTCACCTAGACATTTCACTAGCTCCTTTGTATGCCCAATTATACATTCATTCCTTTCAAACTCACATTGCCATAAGATAGTTTGCAAAGTTTACATAATAAAAAAATGCATGTCCAGCACTGTAACTGGAAATTAATTTTAGTAATATTAAAGTCTGCTGCATTAATGCAGTTTAGGCATGTGGTTTAAAGTTGCACAAAATTAAAATTTTGTCTTCAGAAAAAGTTACTCTCGTATAATTAAATCGGCTAGAATTTATGTTTACGTTCACTTGTGTATATATTTCAAATGCATTAATCTTGAGAAATTAATTTTATATCAAATTTAAAAAATGTTCATTGCATTATAAAATAGAGATGGCAAATTCTGTACTTTACAGTGGGGTTGACAAGTCCCATTTCAGTACAGTACTAGGTCCCTTAAACCATTCTGTATGCAGATACTGTATCAATTTATACACTTAAATTATTACTTGAGCAAATGTCTAGATTAAAGCATCAAGGTTCAGGTTCAACATCAGACAGTATGCAGTACTGGAAAACCGCCATGTATAATCTTCCTCAAATATATTACATTTGCTCATGATGACATTCATTTATATTTGACAGTGACGATCTATCTTCTATCAGGCATTGGTAGTAGTACTGTGAATGTGAATGATAAAAACAGGATACTGCACTAACTACAAGTACATCTTGGACATATGCAATGTGATAATGGGATCACCTATGATTATTATTCATGCTTAAGAATTAATGTCTCCTTCCCTTCCCCATCCCACCCCCCCCAAGAAAAAAAATAGTTGTGATGATTCAAGATTATATGATGTACCAGACCCCATATTTTTCACCAGTTGGAGCAGTCAGTGGATTAGGTAAACTGTTGTGTTTTCTTTAAACACCCCAACCACCCCCCCTACCCACTCGTGTCTATGAACCCCTAATGAGTAGTATAATTAAAGGCAACTAGACAATATTAAACTTAACATTACAATTATTAAAGTAAACTCGTGTTCAAAAACTTAATACTAATTTTTTTTTTATACAATGTACCTTAGCTCTTAATATCTTTATGATACGACTGTCACAATAATATATTACCCGCTCTCTTTGAGGTATAATGAGCGGAACTCTGTGACAATTTTTATAGAGAAATTATGAAAAATAAATAAAGCATTTATAACACCCTAGTAGCACTATAACAAATTATGACTAATGTTTAGGCCTCCTCAATGTCATATTAAACAAATGCAAGAAAAATTAAGGTTTGCAAATGCATGAAGAATAACAAAACCCTACCTATGTAATGTCTTATTTATAGTAGTGTGATATTAAAATATATTAATATAGAACATGCAATAGTGTTCATAATATCACACTACAGTATTTTTAATTGTGATCGTACATACTGTATACGTACATTTACAATTTTGCACATTATAAAGAGATAGATATATATATATATATATTTATATATATTCTCTCTCTGATAATGCTACACATTATCTCTACATGTACTATCACCAAACTGTACGTGCTAAAATTTCATCAATGAGCAACTCGCACTTGGAGACAGCAAGATGATACTTAAGACACTTCAATAAGTACAGCAGGAATAGTTGGACGGAAAAGGATCTGACCAGTAAATGCAAGGAAATTTTCTGAAGCTTCCGTGTGATATGCATCATTCTCTACTCTGGCATGCTTAACGTGACACAATGATGCCTTGAGAGATTGTAATAATAAAATAACTTTTTTCCCCCCCTATACACATTTCTGTAACATTGCAGCATGTTGAAAATGTTACACTAACAAAACTGATGCGTTGACATTTTATTATTTAATATTTAGATCAAAGTGCAATTGTTTGTTGTACAGAAAAATTTTCAACTACAGAAATTGGAGAAAAGCTGTGGATGAACATTCTAATTAATTTTTCCATATAATATTCATATCTTTTATATTTACACATTACTATGCATGAAAAGTGTCGCTTACACTTTTGCTAAACGGTGAAAACCCACGGATTTAGGAGAGGGCATGGAACATCTCTCACAGATCCCCAACAAAGATTCTTTCCAGAAAGAGTCCAACAAAATATCAATGCCGTATATATATTACAGTACAGTATTACAATTAGATAGCATTAGGAATTATTCTAGAGTATATCGTTTCAGATTCTAGAATCTGGATATTCTAGAATATGGAAAAGTGTCAGTATTGCCAGTAATCCAGATGAACGAGTCACCCACGAGTCTATTTTGGCACTTGGTGCATGTATTGGAATTTTGGGTACAGTATTGACTTGGGCTAAAATTATAAGCAAACAGCTTATGGTAAAATTGATCCCTTGAACCATATTGAAAACATAACGCAGCCTTTTTTCCCTTTAAATTAGCTAGAACAAAATACATTTGAGGCAGAAGATATGGGAATTCATAATGTTCAACCAAGATTTTCCCAGTCATAAAAATTTAATATCAATATACTGTAGTAGTAAAATATAACATGGTTTAACATAGTAAGCAAGTGACTTGACCCAAGCCTATAAATAAATTAAAGATCAGAAATCAGGTCTAACAGTTTTGAAGTGGTCATTTCTCAGGGTGACATACTGTACCTTATCAAAGCTGGCCGAGCATGACCTGAAGGAAAGAAGGCACCTACTTCCAGAAAGGGAAGTTTTGCGCAAGAAGCAAAAGTTGGAATAAAGAAAAAGAAAAAAGTTAATTAAATATAAAAGCCTCAAAGAAAAAACGGTACACTGAAGAAAATGCCGAGTTATTCTTGCAGATCTCTCGGGCAACATTATGCTGTGCTGTTTACATACAAAAACACCAATATAATCTCGTTTAGGTGAGCAAACAGCCGATTTAAAAAAGGGGGTTTTACCTTTTCTTATATGAGCCCAATATTCATCCTATAAGTATGCTCTTTAACCTGAGGGAAGACCCCCATATTCTCTTAAATTATGGGGTAACAGTGTAGTACATTGAAGGAGTTCAATGGCCATTAGCAGAAATTGGATATACACCATTTGAAAGACCATTACAACCATTCTCTGTCACATAGTGACCATTTGCTCCGGCTTCCAGGTCAATAGTGTCTTCATGATCACTGCTTTGTGTACCATCACTTTCAACAGCCTGGCCATTATCATCATCATGTCTATAGCCACTTTTCTTGGTGTAATTATCCATGCCATTCTTGATTACCTCTGGCTTTGGTGTGAAATTGGTCCACTCATCTGTAGCAGGATCTAGGTACTCTATGCTGTTAAGGAAGTTCTTACCTGTAGACAGAAAAAGCTTTTATATTGTAACATTAAAACAAAGAGCCAGAGGAGAAAAGCTCTTATGAATTATGTAGGTTGAATAAGAAAATTTTAAAGTCTCACCTGAAAATCCCCCGACGGCATACAGTTTTCCATTTACAACCGCTACACCAACATTGGCTCTGCACGTGGTCATCGACGGCCCAGGCATCCAGCTATTGGTCTCCAAGTCGTATATCTCTGTTGTGCACAAGCTGTGCGTTCCATCTGAACCACCCATGACATACAGCTTACCTGAAGTAATATAAATTGTCTAATTATCTAACTAAATAAATAGGCATCTACAGAGAAAACACACATCAGTATGTTGTCTTTAAACAAATCTATTTAGGTAGTATACTTTAAAAAGATAATGCTTTAAAAGATAATGCTAAAGATTTAAAGATAATGGTGGGTGTGAATGAGCATACCTTTGAAAACTTCAGCACCACATCCTCGTCGTGGGGTAGTCATAGGAGCCACAAATCTCCAAATATCAGCTTTAGAATCATACACCTCAACAGAGTTGAGGCAGTTCCATGAGTCACAGCCTCCAATAGCATATACCTTGCCCTTATATGATGCCACCCCTGCCTGGTACCGACCTGGTTAAAAAGATAAATTACAATTCATTAAAGCCAGTACGAGTCTGCTACGGGAGCTACTTCATGTGATTAATTATGTAAAACCAATACTTCAACAGTTTAGATATTATGTACAGATTTGATTTCTTCTATCAATTGTATGCTTGTATTTTATGAATTGTAAGCTTGTATTTAAAAAAAAAAAATACAAGGTACAATGGGTTATGAAAGGAAACCGATTTTTGCAAAGCCACTAACATGCTTAGCATTTCAGACCGAAGCAGTTGATATATGGTTATAAGAAACTTTCTACCTGTATCATGCATGTATAAAACCTTTGATTATAAAATCTAAACCATTATTAAATACAACAAACACTTACCAACATGGAGAGATGCAATGGTTTGCCAAGTATCAGTGCTTGGTGTGTACATATCGCACTGCTTTATGCCATACTGACCATTCCATCCACCTATGCAGAAGACCTTTCCATCTACACTGCACACACCTACATTAAAAAAAAAAAAATTCAAATTAATTACAACAATTATGCATAGTTGAAAATGCTTTGCTATGAAGCGTATTAATTTGGCCAACTGTACAAGACAGCGAGTTTACAGTAAATTTCTGAGCATAAATGTAGGTGAAATTATGGCTTTTGCAAAGAGCACTGGGAATAGACTTTCACAATTAACATATTGGCAATAACTACACAACAATACTAAAGATTCATAAATAAGTTTCCTACTACTGTAATATTCACACTTAAATGTTTTGTATTGAAGGTACATTTGTTTTGCTTGTATATAAATAATAAATTTGCACATACTGTATGTAGAACATATTACTGGCTATATAAAATAAATATAAACTGACTATAGTACTGAAGTTATTTCACATTTTTTGCAATAATTATCTTCATGAAAATCATTATGTAAAAAAATAAATAAAATGAGGCATTAAAGTACTACTCCCAGTCTCTAAAACAAAACAAGACTTGATAAGAACGACAGTGAAGGTTGTGCCAGAAACATTGCTGCTCAGAAACCTACATACAGGAGTACTCGGCAGGATCCATTCACAACAGAGCAATCACACTAATCTGGTTGATGTCTCAAACAAAGAGTTTTTGTACTATATACAACAATGCAATTTAAAATTAAATCTTTGTTAATGTCATACAACTTTTGATTGAGACAAGAACACACATTTGAATGGATCCTGTACAGAATTTTTAGTGTACAGCAAATACTTTTAAAGCCTTTGCTATCTCCATCCAAATTATGATGTGAAACAAAACTTTTAATGAATAAAATTTAGCAAAACATCAGGTGGTATGCCATATGCAACAGTTTTTCCAATGAATGGAGATTAGTCAATATTCGAGTATAGCTATACACTAATGAACAAAAAAACAGGGGTCTATAGAAAAAGGGACCGACTCCTCTGGCTTGGCTTCCAGGCATCCAGTTGTGAGCGCGTCATAGGATATGTCTCCCATCTGGAAAAACATATCGAGATATCATGAAATGTGAGAGCAATAGCAAAATTAGATCATGATGTTCCTGTACAAGTGCTTGGTGAGCAAAACTTTAACAGATCCTTTTTGTTACTTACCGATGTAGCATAACAAAGAGCCAAAAGGTTACTCTCCAAGTGTTGTGATGAGCACTCTCCCGCCAACAGCAACATTCTCAACTTGCTTCAAAAGCTCAGGTCAAGAAGTGGGCACATGAACATCTGGAAAAGTGGCTTGTGAATCTGCCTGTATTTTGGACAAATGACAGATAATCATAGCCAGTAAAAAAATTGTTCTGTGCCCCCTTCCTTCCTGTATCTAGCAAGTTGAGAGTCCATGATAGCGAGTGTCCTGTTGGAAAGAGAGGGAGATAACTGTTAATGGCCAACAGTCAAGGTTACTCACGTGTTTGCCTAGTTGAGAAAGCTTCAGGAGGCTATTGTGCTAATCTTACAATTTGGTAATGATACAGCTACTTGCCTTCATGACACTACTCCCTTTTGTATAACCTCCATATCTTTCCTGGAAGCTCTTTTCAGGTTCGCCTGCAAAACAGCAGAAGAATTAATGAGTAGAAACCAACATTACACACTCAGTTGCCTCACCAGTGTTAGAGCGAGCCAGGGGTAGAGGTGCCACACTAATCCATTTCTTGGAGTTTCCCTCAAGAACCTCTACAGTACTGAGCTCCTTAGAACCATCACATCCACCAACAGCATATGCCTTTCCATCTAGAACCGTCAAATCGAACCGGCCACGACCCTGACGCATAGGAGGCTGTGCAGTCCAGACATTAATGTCGGGGGAGTAATCTTCAACCGTTCGCAGGCACTCACCGCGATCGTATCCTCCACAGACCAAAAGACGACCATTGAAATTCCCCGTGCCTGTAGCACACTTTGGAGAAGACATATGAGGAATAACTGTGTAATAGTCAACCTTCTCCACTGAAGCAGGACGTGATGAGATTGGAGTAGAAGTAGGTGATGCACTTCCCATCCTCTGTTGTACTGACATTACAGTAACTGATCCTTTTAGTGTCACTACAGCCACCCATGAACTCTCTGAAAATAAACATTACAAATAATGAATGACTCGTTTAAAGAATTTTAGATACAAATTTAAAGAAAATCTAGGTATGTGGCAAATGCAGTCGATCAAGAAGTAGCAGTCACAGTCACGTCACAGTGACTATGGCAGTCACTTTTAGGCTACAAAGAAAGTGGTGTAATGAGTACCGGGGTGTAATAATTACAGGGCGCTGCATTGTGGAAAGAAGAATATTTATTCTCTTTTGCCTGGCCAACCATGGGTGCTACCAAATTTTATTTACATCTTATTTTATTTTGTGTGTGCAGTGTGATACTGCTATCATGCCAGCTCATTCCCAGCTAATTTGACCCATACTTCTGCCTCATCTTTCGTAGCAACTCTACTAATTTCCACATTTCACTTTTCTATAAATGCAAAATTGTGCTCTAAAGCTTATGTCACCACTACCAGCTGAATACAGCAGTTTTGTTTTTAGATGTACAATGACTATAATCTCCTTATTACACACTGATAATATAATAGTACGTCTTAAATCAAATTATCATTTAATTCATTCAATAAATAAATTGCACATTATTGTTATAATATATTCAAACCAGAAGGCGTGGAATTTAGTTCTACTAATCACCCGAGCTAAAGAGCATTTTATTAATACACGATTTACTCTTCATACCGGTAACCTGATTACTGTTAACACCCTGCCGTATGCCAAGGCGCTTCAGAGCTACCTGTGAAGGGTCAACATTCCATCGATTTTTTTTAAATTTACATAACTGCTCGCTACAAAACGGCCTAGGGTATTGTTTGCAACCGATACTACTGTGATTAACCCCCTGGTGCCAAGACAAGCACATAAATTTTTGGAGAAGCTATATTAGAGTTTGGGATGTCTTGTGGTTTTATATAATTTAAACAGACAATATCAAGACGTGTTTTGCATTCTTATAGTGAACCGTTTCCACGCCTGCAAACCACAGACTAAAGCTACAACTGCTTCTAGAACTCTCAACAAATTTAACATTAAATTTAAACATTTTCACTTACAATTTTATTTGTCAGCAAGATGCTATCATCTTTAGTAGTTATAATAAGTTATGATAATATTAAGAATTTAAATTATGGTACACAAGGAGAGCAATTACAACAGAAGATGAACTCACCAGATACTTGGGCATAGGCTATCAATTTCCAATCAGAATCATGCTCAGCATCATCCTTGTCCGAGATGCTACGAGAGTATAGCATCAGACGAGGCTTCACAGGCTGAGGTGTTGTCGACTTCCTTCGCAACTGTTAAATATGACCTATTTATTAAATCTGTACTGTATTCTGTTCAATATTTTTTATCTAGAATTATCATTAAAGATTCATGAATATATATCCACAAATTATTGCACTGAAATTGATAGTTCTGTAGAAGATACTTTTTGTGCATAGATAAAGTACTGAATTAACTAAAATATCTTCAGTGACAATACATACTGGGGGAAGAGGACAGACTCCACTTGGGAGTAACAACTCTCCTTCAGCAAGCGTATAATCAACTGAACATTTTTGTACAATTTCACTACTTAAATTGGTAACGTGGCACATAAGGCTGCAAACCAAGACAAGTCAGTATCACCACAGCCCAGCCAGGAGTAACATCACTCGCCAGCCTTGACCGAGCCCTCCTGCCTGGCTATGTGGCTCGAAGTACCCTAATGCTGCCTCTTCATACCGTAACCTATCTCAAATTATAAATATATATACTGTATATATGCTCGAATGCCATCGTGTGTTTAATGTCCACCAGTCTGGTATGCGGTTCATTCGTCTACAGTACAGCTATAGTGTTGACAGCATTCTATAGAAATTCAAGAAACCTACTGGTGAACAGAATTACATTACATATACAAAAATGGGTTATATTAACCTTAATATTGGTCTGGGAGTGTTTCCTGGACATCTTTTTGTAATCTTGAACCATATCAGAATCATTGAGGTCACCTGACTGGATGTCAGAACAGTCGTGCAGTGAATTGTCAATGTTCAGGTACAGCATATGTTTCTGAAAGAATAAGAATCCACGTCATAATTCATGATGGTAATATGTGAAAACACAAGCAGTAAATAGTAATAACGAATTGCTTAAATTTATACATTTTTAAAATAAATTTATAAAATTTTGTATATTTAAATGAAACGTCCTTATATTGCACAGTAATACATCCAAGTGAAATTCCAGAAATTTCCAAGGAATCTAATGTAAAATGCAGCTTTCAAGCAATGACCATATTTTCATGCAATGTTGCAATTTCTTAACAGGACAATATCCTTTACCTTTTCCTTCATCAAATCCAAATGAAAGTCCTCCTCAACCATTTGTTTCTTGACCCACTCCAGCACAAGGATACAAAGGGCACGACCTGTGATGGCAGCTTCATCGTGGGTCCTATGTATAACTGTGACCTGGATCTTCGGTATACCCAAAGCATCTCTCGTCACCTGCACTAGGTCACTCTGGAAAAGCAAATTCACCGATGACAAGCAGGAAATAAGTGTTTTAGTGTATATAATGGGCATTACTGTACCTAAAAATATGTTTTAGTTAAATAATGCAGAACATTAAAATTAACAGAGTCTTCAATAGCGCGTTACTTGCATTCATTTCACATGCTATTCTTTGAAGGAAACTACTAAAACGCTCTCAATATTATTAACTCACCACTGGCCGCAAGCAAACTTTTACTCTATATTAAGTCCGAATTAAATATTTCAGTTTAATGCAACTAAAACCATTATAGAATAAATGTAGTTGAAGTAATTACAAAACTCACCACTTGTTGGATATATTCATCAACACGAGTGACAAGCTCATCATTGGAAGCAATACCACTAATAGCTCGCACTGCTAGGCAAGATTCAGGAGTCAAATGGGCCACTAGATGTTCACCGCAGGCATGAGCAACAGTCTCCATCTGTCAACAGATACAGTCGTTTCAAAACAATACTGATCAAAACAGAATGCTTTTGTTTTATGCTGAAAATGTTTGGTTAACCATTGTGATTTGCACATTTCTTGGACATTAAAGATTATTACATTTGCAATATGTATACAGTAATTTACCCTGCATTAATATCCTCTATAATTATGAGTGGAATAATCACGAGATTCGAGAAAGGTCCTGTATTCCTTGGCCTTTACCATCTCAGGATACGAAGAGGGTAGTGCAAGGTGTACAGGGTGATGCAATAATTGCAGGCTGCTTGTAGTTTAGCAGAGTAGTAGTAGTTTTAGATTTAGCTACTTAGAACGAAATGTCCATGTAGCACGGGCTATAGCGAGACCATAATTTTTAGTAGTAGTAGTAGTAGTAGTAGTAGTGGCAATTGAAGGGAAGGGAACTAGTGCAGTCATGATTATATAGCACTGGGAAGGGATTTGGGATTGGAACGAGGGGAAAAGAATGGTACATGAAGCGAGACCATCACTCTACAGGCAATTTATTGTAATAGTATTTAACTGGTTGCAATAGTGTCTACTTATTGGGCTAAAAGCCTATCAAACCTCCTAAGAGTGGGTGGTTCTCAACCTTTCTGGACTCATAACCCCATCTTCTAGGCAACTAGACATACTGTATTGGTAAAAAATTCAGGATTTTAACCAGTGTGAACATTTTTAAATATTACCTAATCAGGATTTCAGTAAAATAGGTACCTGGGTGTTAGTCAGCTGTCACGGGCTGCTTCCTGGGGGTGGAGGCCTGGTCAAGGACCAGGCCGGGGACACTAAAGCCCCAAAATCATCTCAAGATAACCTCAAGATAAGAAGGATACTCGCCCAGGGATCTTACAATTTTTGTGTGGTGGCCACAACTGAGGTTTCTCCACCTGTCACTCTGAAACAAGCTCTGTCCCAGCCCTCCCAATCAATTCTTTTATATTATTCTTTTTCTCCTTACAAGATGCTGGTCATTTACCACTACCACATGATCCTATTTCACCTTCTCGTTAATCAATACTGTACTTGTGCACCCCCCCCCCCCCCGTACTACCTAAGCATTTCAAGTTTCATCCATTATCTTTTCGTTTATACGACATCTCATACTCCTTTACTGCTCACTCCACATACTAACACCAGCTGTTATGTTCCGAAGATTGTAAAATGTACCACACTAGTAGAAAATTAAAAGTAATAATCCTGTTTATAAATTCCTAATAGTTATTCAATACGAAATTCTATAACAATTTGGATCGTCCTCGGGCCACCATAGACAAGTCCTAAAAGCTTCAAATCTGTATAGAGGGTGTTCTCCAATATCACATTGACAAGAGGTTTTAAGCAAAAATGAACTCAAATATTTTACCTAATTAGTACAGTATTTTTGGGAGTCTTCATGATTTCATTTACATTTGTTTAAAAAAATGTGAAGGCAATACTGTATTCAGTACTGTGCTGTAAAGCAGACATTCTTAAAACAACTTACTGTTCTGTATTAAGGGGCTGAAACAGCCTACTGATCATGCTTACATGATTCGGGTATACAAAGTATTGTCTCTTACCTCCTAATATTAATGGTTATTGCACATACCTTAAGCCTTTTGGCAGCAATAAAAACACTCTTGACGAGGGGGTCAGGCACCTCCAAGCATCCAGTGTAGGCATAGTTTATTAGCCTATCCACCGAGTCTCTCTCAAATCCACTACTCAGTTTATACATCAGCTGAAGAAAAAGGATTAATTTATTAATACAGTACTCTAACAATGTATGCAAGAAACTACAAAAAAAAATGTGCCAGTGATTTTTATCTAAATATATTATCACAGGCTTTTCCATGAACTGATAATTTAGTTAGCGCTGATAACAGGCAGCGATAATTTTGAGTTAACGGGTTATTTATTTATCACGGTTTTTAAAACTACAATATTACATATTACTGTATTAATATAAAAATTACCCCATGTAATAAAAATACAATTTAACACTGTGATAATAGAAAATAAGTATTTCCGTTTAAATCTGCAACATTAGTTACAAGTTTACATATTAAATTACTAGTACACTGGACTTTTGCTCTAAGAACAAAAACTGTACCAGAAAGATGGATGCAACAAAGTTTGCAATCATTATAAAGAAATAGACTGCATTGAAGAGCAAGACCCAGTATGTGCGCAAGTATTTCAGCATTTAAATTAATAATTATTTTTGGGTATAAAATAACAGTAAACTTTATATGGTAATTAAATTTTGGATGCAAAGAGAGAGCTAGTTGTATACGAACCCCTACCTTCCCCCTACCCTAATCAAATCTATTTCTTCAAGAGATTCAGTTTACAGTGCGTGCTTTCATTCAATCTACCTTAATGCAGATTTTCTTAAGCAACCATTTGGTTTCCTGTTCAGTACTGGAATTCCCCAATGTGACTAATTAGCAACAGTACAAAATCACCAAAATAGTCAGTGCTGTGTATACAATAATATACAGTAAATATACTCTGTGTACTAACCCTTCCTTCGTGTGCAGTCTTGCGATCGTCATCCGAAGTGAATAACTCAAAGAAATATGCAGATGCACAAGCCAGAACAGAGCGATGAGCATGTATTTCAGAGCTCCCAACCTGAAAAGCAAAATTAACTTTAACTTACAAAAAATATAAAATAAAAATCCAGTACATGTACTGTACTTTTAAAATGTGTGTGTACTGCTTAAGTCAACGTGTTACTTTCAAAAATCACCCAGCTGCATGAGAATAGTAGAAATAAAGCCCACACAAGTCCCTCCTAGCTATAACTGTCCATCAACTTGATGGAAACACTACTTAAAATAATATATTTCTGTAAATGAATAATCAAAGACCACTAGGATGCTAGATCATTTAATTCCTGAAATGTGACAATTTTTCCACCGACTACCATTAACAATTTCAATGATGGAATACATTCCTATGGCATTTTTACCATTTGTTTGTTATACGGGTTTGAGTTAAACAGTTGGGTTCATTCTCAACTCGCAATCAGGACATAAGTGTCATCAAGGAGCTAATTTGCTTGCCAAACTAGAGGGCAGAATCATCAATGCTTTCTCAAAGTTGCAGAATGCAGCCCACAACTGATGCCCAATTCTCGGGTACCTATTCGTACCTATAGGTGAACAGAGGCATCACGTGTAAGAAAACATTGTTCAAACACCACTGTCCTACTGCTGCTGGAATTGAACCCGGGACCTTTCAGCTGTGACCCAACTGTGCTGACCACTACACCACATGGATAATTGCCATGTGGATAATTGCTTTATGGATAATTGCCAATTATCCACCAGTGGATAACAGCTATTACTGAAGTATATTAAAATTTGTAATGTGGTTGTTAAAAATGGTCTATAGTTTGAAGTTTGAAGAATTTTTTCACACAAAGTTTGAAGGATGGTAATTAACTAACTGGTAATTAGGAACATTATAAAGTACTGAAACAAGATGCTAAGTGGATTTTTCCCGCTATTTTTATACCACTTCTACCTCAAAATAATTTTAACTTCACAAAGTGAAAGTATTTTCACTTTCAATAAACACCAAGTTGAAAACTTTTGTAATGTAATAATTATATAAACCTATTATTTATTCCTATAAAATAATAAATATTAACTAATTACAGTTACACATTTCAGGACTTGAGTTGATTGTTTACAAGAGTGAAGAAGATGGCGCTAGGCGAGGCAGTGCCACGAGGCGAGGCAGTGAAGGGGACAGTGGCCGCCAGAGGCGAAGCAGTGCCACGAGGCGAGGCCGTGAAGGGGACAGTGGCCGCCAGAGGCGAGGCAGTGCCACGAGGCGAGGCCGTGAAGGGGACAGTGGCCGTGAAGGGACAGTGGCCGCCAGAGACGAGGCCGTGAAGGGACAGTGGCCGCCAGAGGCGAGGCAGTGAAGGGACAGTGGCCGCCAGAGGCGAGGCAGTGAAGGGGACAGTAGCCGCCAGAGGCGAGGCAGTGAAGGGGACAGTGGCCGCCAGAGGCGAGGCAGTGCCACGAGGCGAGGCAGTGAAGGGGACAGTGGCCGCCAGAGGCGAGGCAGTGAAGGGGACAGTGGCCGCCAGAGGCGAGGCAGTGAAGGGGACAGTGGCCGCCAGAGGCGAGGCAGTGAAGGGGACAGTGGCCGCCAGGGGCGAGGCCGTGAAGGGACAGTCCCACGTGACTAGCGTCGCGTCAGCAGGTACCCGCCCTCACTCCGGGGAAGCCATTCTTCGCCTGTCACCGGCGCGGTTTTTAAAATTAGCTCAACTATGTAAGGCGAGGATTACGTCGAGGAGAAACGCCCATAGTCCTGCAGTTGCTCAAGACTTTCCCGACGAGCACGTAATCTTGCGTGCACGCACGTAAAACCTACATGCACGTAATCTTACGTGCACGCAACCCAGCACGGGAGGAGGGATGGGGCCTAGCCTCATCCCTCCTCCCTCCATATCATTGCTTTCTCCCCCTCTGCCAGTTTACTCTTGCATGCATCATTCATCCCGTCTGCCTGCTGGATGGATTAATATTGCATGCATGCATGAGTAGGCTGGCTGGGGGGAGAGGAAGGGAGATGGCCGAGCCCTATATCGCCTTCCCTTCAGGCCATACAATGCCTCTGTCTACCCTCATGCCCTTAATAAATCCCGCCGGCCTGCATGCCTCTGAAATTACCCTGCTCCCTGCTCTCTCTGCTACAGCTCTCCCTCGTCCATTTGCTCACTCCCCGCAATCCCAAGGATTACAATCGCCTCCCTCCTCGACTCACCTGGAGGATGACGTCGCAGAAATGTCTGCTTTTCCTGAGCTGGTTGAGCTGTCCGAGGCGCTGATGAAGGACATCTGGCCGGTCTTCCATTACCAGGCTGGTGTTCATCTTGCCCTCAGTCACCATCTTGCCTGCCAACACACACACAACACCAGGTTAGTCGACTTGCATTACTATATCAACTTTGTTTCTCCATTCAGAAAGGTGGAATGTATGAAAAATGGTATTCTTTAAGGCTTTACAATGTGAAGCACTATAATCACCGCCACCCCATGATCCCTCACACCCATTTTACGGGGTATGGTGATTGATGCAGATTAAGCCACTCAAAAGGTGGCACGGGCATGAATAGCCCGTAAGTGGTGGTGGCCCTTTGGAGCCATTACCAGTATCAAGAGCTGATACTGGAGATATGTGGAGGTGCAACTGCACCCTGCGTGACGGGAGATGTCTCCCGTCTGTAGGGTATGGCCCCATTCCCTCCCTTTATACCCACTATGACATGGCGACTGTGTCTAATCCCTCACCCGCTTCCCAATCCTGTCCCGCCCTCCGACACCCACTACACAATTCATTCTCTTTAGATAGTATGTTTTGTAACCACACACACAGATCACACTAACGTATGCATCAAATGAACAAATCCACAAGGGCAGTGACGAGGATTCGAACCTGCGTCTGGGAGCATCCCAGACACTGCCTTAATCGACTGAGCTACGACAGGGTTAAAAGGGTTGAAACCGAAGTTCTACTGAACTTACTGGATCCCGATTAAGGCAGTGTCTGGGATGCTCCCAGACGCAGGTTCGAATCCTCGTCACTGCCCTTGTGGATTTCTTCATTTTACGTTTTGTAACTTTGCGTCATAGTACAAACATTGACGTAACAGGCAACTTGACAGAATTTGGTACTATCACTTCTTAATTAAGTCCGAAAAAAATGAAAAAACATATTTCTAGGCCTAGGCTAGCACATATGTACGATGTTACGCCTCAGATAGCGTATATTAGGCCTAGGAAGGTTAGTTTAGGTCGTCTTTTCAACAAATACAAAACCTTTGGGCAGTTTCTTTAACCCTGATGCACCTGTTACATAGTAGTAAATAGGTACCTGGGAGTTAGACAGCTGCTACGGGCTGCTTCCTGGGGATGGAGGCCTGGTCGAGGACCGGGCCGCGGGGACGCTAAGCCCGAAATCATCTCAAGATAACCTAATGATAATGCTCGTTATTTTTTCAGCAATTATCGTAACCATGTGGCTTAGTATATTTAATAATATATTTAAATAAGCATAGTCAGAAGAGTCGAGTGGATACTCTGCTGACGTCACAGTCGTTCGATCAACGACTTTTGTTAAGTGTTCCTTTTTAGTTTTTCGTAATGTCCAAATCGGATAACCTGCCGTGATATATCTTGGTTATCTTGAGATGATTTCGGGGCTTTAGTGTCCCCGCGGCCCGGTCCTCGACCAGGCCTCCACCCCCAGGAAGCAGCCCGTGACAGCTGACTAACACCCAGGTACCTATTTTACTGCTAGGTAACAGGGGCATAGGGTGAAAGAAACTCTGCCCATTGTTTCTCGCCGGCGCCTGGGATCGAACCCAGGACCACAGGATCACAAGTCCAGCGTGCTGTCCGCTCGGCCGACCGGCTTCCTATAGAATGATATAGAATGGTAGCCGAAGGCTACTTTTATACATTTTCTCAGATTTCACACCAGTTTGAAAATTACCATCATGAATTTTATGTACCAATGTGCATGCATGTATGAGTTTCACGCGTGCAAAAACACCACCAATGTGTACTCTATTTGTGCTTGCGGGGGTTGCGCTCTGGCTCTTTGGTCCCGCCTCTCTACTGTCAGTCAACTGGTGTACAGGTTCCTGAGCCTACTGGGCTCTATCATATCTACACTTGAAACTGTGTATGGAATCTGCCTCCACCACATCTAATGCATTCCATTTGTCAACCACTCTTTACAAAAAAAAAAAATAGTTCTAATATCTCTGTAGCTCATTTGGGCACTCAATTTCCACCTGTGACCTCTAGTGCGTTGTTGTTGTTATATATTCAGCTACTCTGAACAAGTTCCAAGTAGCACGGGCTATGGTGAGCCCGTAACTTACCTGGCACAGGAGCGGGGCAAGAAGCACGGACTATGGTTAGCCTCGTGGACGGGAGATGTCTCCCGTCCTCTAGTGCGTGTGTCCCTTGTGTTAAATAGCCTGTCTTTCTCTACCCTATCAATTCACTCCACCCTGTATGTATGATGAAACTCGGGGACAAGCCCAGAAAGACAATAACAGTTAACGGAAGCCAGTTGACCAGACACCACACTAAAAGTTGAAGGGACGACGACGTTTCGGTCCGTCCTGGACCATTCTCAAGTCGATTGTGATGAGGACAGGTCCCTACCTACCCTACCTGTCCTCATCACAATCGACTTGAGAATGGTCCAGGACGGACCGAAACGTCGTCGTCCCTTCAACTTTTAGTGTGTGGTCTGGTCAACATACTTCAGCCACGTTATTGTGACTCATCGCCTGCAACGGAAGCCACTTTCTTGAAAGAAAGGAAAACAAGATTTAATCACAAACATACAATTAGGATACACCAGAGCAGTACACACTAACCAATACCCTAACCTCAAAAGAAGGCTTTCACAATATTATGCTTGTGAAGCCCATCTCAAACAAGCCCCATGGGGAACCAAATGCACAAAGGTTTATAACGAGGCTATGCTGAAATCGTGCAATTAAAAAAGAGAGCGCTGTATCGAAACGAGCCTTAATCGACACTAGAATAAAAATTCACAATATCAAGAAAATACAAAGGCATGTATGGATACACACCCACCACACACACACGAGCCAGAGAGATACGAGAAATTACACAATATGATAACAGAAAATCAATGAAGTGGACTACAGTGGAAGCAAACTCCAACCTTTATTTAACAGAAAAGATTAGACTTGCTACGGCGGTCCGTCTAATTACCCAAAGCTTCCTAGCATTACGCAAGTCATCAAGAAATGATATATTTACTCACTATAATATTGGTGTTGAATGTAGAGCATAAAAATATATTTTTACTCTGAAATAATATAATTTTATAACTAAATTAGACGAAACTAAGTGGCAGGTGAAGCTACAGGAAGTCGACGCTCCAAACGACAATGTTGTGCCTTTGGGAAACTAAATGAACCCGATTTCGTTATAAAATGAGGTACCAACCGGAGTTTTAAAGTAACATAAGGCACAAAAGGATGGCAGCTTCACGGGAGAGGCCTCTACTTGCTGATCAAGCACAGGTGACCAGAAGGGTGTTAAAATTGGATTGAAGTACCTCTGACAGGAAACAGGGTTATGGTAAGGGGCCTCAGGTCAGGGAGGTCAAATGGTGTACCCGAAGACTCCATACTGTAGTTATACGCAGCCGAGGAACAATGCAAAGTTGTCATAACACATTGTTAATATAATGTAAGATAACATGAGAAATCAGGCCTAGAGTCGCTGGATTATAACAACCGACAGTTCAGTAAGGAGGGGCTCAGAAGCTAGCTATCCACCCTGAATGACATTTAGGAGAGTGCATACAAGAAGGGGCCTACACAAGGTTAACCTTTTTTCTTCCTAAACAAATTATCGATCTCTACAAAGCCAGACGCATGCTAGTCAAGCTTTCACTCTGAGCTGTAGTCTGTGGCCGTACCTGCTACACCGTACCCGCCCCTGCCCTTGCATATAGAGGTCAAGGTGTAGCTCCCCGCCTAGTCTAGTAGCATTACCTGTGCTTCTTGGTTTGTATGTGTACGTCTGATACCATACTACTTGTGTAAAGGAGGAATTGTATATGTTTATCTCTCAGAATGTTTGGTAATATGTTTATTGTGATGTGTGTATATGTATGTATTAAACACGATGTTCCATTTGTGTTAGGAAAGACTTTGGTAAATACTGGTTCAGTAACAGGGTTGTTGATTTGTGGAACCAATTGCCGCGTAACATGGTGGAGGTGGGGTCCCTCAATTGTTTCAAGCGTGGGTTGGACATGTATATGAATGGGATTGGGTGGTTATAAATAGGAACCGCCTCGTATGGGCCAATAGGCCTTCTGCAGTTGCCTTTGTTCTTATGTACTGAACAGGGTGAGAATAGCTCGAGCTACCTCATCCCTTTGTGTATTTTACCTCAAACTTATTTCAATTTCAATTCAATTTCAGTACTTCTTTGATGTCCGATTACATCATCATCAGATATATAATTTTACACCTTTGACCACGATACCAATAATTTTCAGCCTATTTTGTTTAGATAAAACTTTTTGTAACTAGTGGATCAGCGTACATATTTTTTACGTAATGGACAATTCGATTTAAGTAAATGGTACCAAATTCTATAGTCAGAAAAAATAAAGCTAAAAAAATATATTCCTACGCCTAATATAGGATTATATAACGTGTGTAGGCGCATGTTATGATTTTAGTATTGTGAAATACAAAACAGCAGTGGATGTGCAAGTGTTTGTGGAAAAAAAAAATTTCGTTTTCTATATGGCGTAAAAGTTTTAATCCTTTGAATAATAGGCTACCTTAATACTAAATCTTTACACAGCCCTAGCTAAACCACTTTTATACTAAACAGGTTTGTTCGATGTGCTACAGAATGATGTCTTTAAAACAAAGGATAACCAAGTTTAATGAACAAATTCACAAGGGTCGTGACGAGGGTTCGAACCTACGTCCGAAAGGATCCCAGACGCTGCCTTAATAGGCGTAATAATGCTTATTGTAATAACCAACTTTATGCCCTATTAGCAATCTTTCGAAAACGGACAAAGGGCCAAGTAGAAAGCTTTGTTAGCTTAAGAAGGTATTCGATTAAATGATGCTACTTAACATTCCCCCCCTCTACTCCATACAACTGCGTAACTAATGTTTACTCGCCTTTTAAAACTTAAATTTGTCCTATTTGACTCATTTGTGTGAAGAGTGGTATCGTTCAGTTTCGTTATCTTTTTTACATCTGTTAAAGGCTTTATTGAAGGGTATAAACAGGTTGTTGCAAATAGTTTAGAAAAATATTTTAATACACAAATTCGTCATTTAAAGAGCTAGTTACACATTAAGTTC